CAATAATTATTCTGTACGCGTTTAGTATGCAACCGAAAACATAATATATATATCTCCATACAATATATGTTGATGATATTATATTCGAGCGGTCAAGGATTTCTCACGTACTCAATATCGAGTGATTCGAAGTCTAGCGATCTACGCAAACTTATGCGGTAAACATTGGTGTTTATGAAAATTCGGTATTATTATTTACTGTTTGGAGAAACTGTACGATTGTTTTTATACCGCATATTATGTACGGAAAAAAAAAATAACAATAATAGGCATTAGCTGCAGGTGTATATAATAGGTATATGCGAACATGTATACCGTCGTTATATTCAATCTATAGTAACGAGGTTCTACAATGTATAGTACGCTGTCTTATTATTATTTACCGATACGTATCATGTAACACATAACAGCACAGAAACAAAGGAAAATCTCCCTTGATTATGTTTTGTACGCTCGCGTGTAAAGAATTTTTGGACCCTTTGAGAACAATTATTATTTTACGTGCAATATACACGAAAATAACGTAGGTTCACGGTTAAACCATTACATAGATACATTGGCGATAACGGGTGTACGATGATACTTTCAGATGATATGTACAATAAAACTCGTACATAAGACGCTGTTTCCCGTCGGTTACTAGACATTTCCTATATTAGTCAATGTTAAGCTACACCAGTTGAGAGGGTTTTTTATACATCAGATTTTGATAAAGTGCAGTAATTGTATGAAAATAAAAATAGAAATTTTACTCGTTATCGTATTATCGTTTTATTTTATCGTACTTTCTACAGCATCTTAACAAGTAGGTACGTACTTCACCGTATTATGAGGTATAAAATGATCAAGAAAAAGAAGATCCAGATAATCTAGTATCGACTCTAACAATTATTGCTGGTTTGCAACACCTATCAGAAATTCGAAAAGATTTGTCCTCTGTAGAAAATGCCGAAGGAATGTTGACTTTTTTGCTAAAACGCATTGTCAAAATCTTAAACATACACAAATAGATCATTTTTTTTAATATACAATAAAATAAAGAATAAATAATTAAAATATATATGTATATTATATACGGTATTTCTTTTTTAATTAAATTTAATAGCAAAGAATATGTAACAAATTATGATTTATAAATGTCTTATCTGTTAAATTATGTTAATAATAAAAATTGACTCAATATTTATATCAGTTTTTTCTTTCAATTTCCACATAAGGAACGCCCCCGCTTTAGACGCTCTAGTCAGATGGTTCTTTAAAGAGCGTCTTGATCGAGTTTTACTGTACGAGTATATATACGGATGTATATATCCATAGTACTCGTGATCGATTTGTCTTACAATGTATGTATTATGAATATATTGCATACTTTAAAATATATCTGAAAAGACCAATTGGTGTACACAAATATATTTATACTAATATACATCGTGCGTGCCAAATATGAACTTAATGTTGCACTTGATAAAAATCACAGTACGTCCACAGCAACCGGGTATTTAAGTAGGGGGATTACTGAATATATACCGAATTATTGTTGATAAACAAATCCATTACTGTGTTCGTTACAACAATGGCTGCGTGCAGCATTCGTAGCTTATACATACCTACTAGCCTTATACTTAATTTAATTACAAATATTGTAAATGAAATCAGCCTGATTCGCTCACGCACGTCATGTTAACTTATACATGTGCAAGTGTATACAATTCTATTAACAGCCTCGCGCACAATGCGATGCCAAAGCGAATAACACTGAACGATAATTGATCGGATCGGATACGCGTACATTTAATCGTACGTGTGTGCATGTGTGTGTGTGTGTGTGTGTGTGTGTACAGCTAATACAGTATTATGTTATTCCGACGAATACAGTATTATAATATTATGTTTCAACGAAGCAATATTGATGCACCTGTATGCAATACACCGCAGTCCCGGTTATTATTACGTCCAATCCGTATACGTTGTAATCCTATGCCGCGTTCAAGATCAATCTAAGAAATTATAAATTGACGATAAAAAAATTGATCGCGTTTAAATTCAAAAACCATTGAGTACATCATTTGTGCAACGCATACAGGAGGACTGTAAAAAAAAAAAACATTGAATTAATTTCCGAAAAGTGTTTGTATTACGATACGCGCATGTAAATCAGCAGAAAATATAAACGTATATGCATGTGATAGCAAATTAAAAAAAAAAATCGTCAATTCGTGGACAAAATAAACTGTTCAGTATACAGATATACAGATGATTATTGTTCATACTTGTATCTAAAAATGTACTATCGATATCCATTTTTATAGGTACCAATATCTATACACTCGATGTGACTTACATAAGTATAAGTAGCTAATATATATATATATATATATATTGGAACTGACACCTAAATATGATATTTTCTAAAATCATTAAAATCAACTGGTACAAATATTTTTGAAAACGAAGATTCTGTGAATAAAATAATATGTTGATTTTATTTATACGGAATTAGTTTTGTATGTAAATTGCAAAATTTGTCTTCGTAGAATAAATAGGAACAATACGGGAATCCACCCTTTGTGTATAATTATGTAGGCATGAATAAATATTGTAAACCGCGACTACCTGCATAAATGTAAATCACAAAATCGAAAAGTCACATCAACATAAAATATATTCGTTTAGAATCTGTATCGTTTGAATACATCGATCTGTACGTAATAAATATGTTGCGAGTGTAATGGAACGAAAAACAAATTAAAACCAACGGTTATTAAATATAAATATTTATAATATTTATAATAAATATAAAAATGTTATTAATAGAAAAATTACCCTATATACATTTTCTTACCCATCATATAGATATAACGACGATGATGTATGTATACATTACCACTTTGAATCGTTCAAATCGTATACGACACCGTTGATTTCTTAATTAAATCGAAAAACATAGTATAAGCCTAGTGTACTTATTTGTATATAAACATCCGTGGGAACAAAAAATTGTGTGTACATCGTGAAACTGGTGCACACGTTTAAACATATTAACTGCATACCTACGTAGCTATAACGTATTACTGTTAAAAATTATTTTCCCCCATTAATTACGTGATATCTTTTAAAACTCCATTAAGAAATGGTACAGATGTATGCGTGTATTTTCATATCCGCGCAGACCCAATTAAACCAAATGAGCTTGACAAAATATGATTATATCTCGACGCGTGTCACTGCACGTATAAAAAAATGATATTGCAACATCGTATCATACATCGTGCGGACGTACAAAGCGTATCAGTGGCGTAGCGAACATATATAACGGAGGATATTATCATTTTAAAGCGATTGTTCCTTCAAAACTTCATCGGGTCGGGGAGCATCACCCATACGACGTTCAGTAGTAATAATAATCTATTATTGTAAAACTATATCTTCGGAGTGTAATCAATTCCATTACCTAACCAATAGGGCAGATGACTTGTAGATCTAAAAAAAAGTACTAAATGTGCAAGCACATATGCACTTAAAAGTCCTAAAATATCCATTAAATATATGCTAATACATTTTTTTAAAGCGATTTAATTAAAAATATATATAAATTATTTAATTGTTGCGTAACATAAAAATATTTTTCACGTCCTACTTCACAATATTTCCAGTTTTTGCTCTGCAAACACGTACATTGTAATTGTGTCCATGTTGTTTTCGTGCAATACGTTGCGTTTCCGCAGCCATTGTAAACGGCGGCGATAAACCTCCGTGTGCGATCGGCCGGATACGTAATTGCATCGTTATAATCGCATTTAAATGTATTCGGCAAAAGTCAATGAAGTTTCTTTAGTGTCATCCTATCGGAAATGTTATGATGTAGACAACGTGTTTACTCTTTAAAAATAAAATTAATGTAATAGGCGATTCTCGAGACGTATTTTAGAGAAAAAATGCGTCTGCATTTAAATTCATCTACCGTATTAAATGATCAATTTTTTTTTTCTTTGATTGAAAAATATTTGGGTCGTATATTAGATGAAATAAAAGCGTCGATCGAAAAGCGTAAGTATAATGATGAATTATTTAAAAGTATAAACGGGAGAAATATTTTTGTGATAGTGCAAAACAAACATGCGAACGCTTACAAGTACTTAGCCCTACGAATCGAGTACATACGAACCACATCTGAGCAAATATAGGGATATTTATTGAACATTAAATTATTAGCCGTCTGTCGAGGTTATCATGATTACAAACTTGGTTGAAAAAAACACACATATACATAATATTATAACTATGGTGGAGGGGTTTACGATTTTCACGGGCTACACGATGAAAAAAAAAACTAAAAATAATAACAACAAACCTGAAAAACGACGAAAAATTTGATTCAGTTACTTTTGGCAACAATCGTTCACGATTCGAACCCCCTTTCCCCCTCGATTGTAGTCGCGTGGGTGTCTTGCAGTGGCGGAAAAGATTATCATGTTAATGATCGCGTTGCCCATCAAACGCGTGCGAAAAGAGAGAGCAATCTCTGCGCGTCCACCCGCGCCCCGACCGTCGGTGGCGGACACTCGATGGAGTGTAAAAAAAATAAATTAATACGCGCGCGCATGCGCGTGCGAACAGGTAAGACAAGAAACGCGCGGACGGGGAACAAAGAGCGGGGCGGAGGGGAGGACGGAAAATTTTTTTAAAAAAATCCGAAAAAAATAATATATATGTATATATGAACGGCCGTCGGAGGCGATGGTAACGCTTCGGTGGGAGGAAAAACACTGTCGGTCGGAGAGCGCTGCGCGGGCACAGCGGCGGAGGTGTAAGCCTTGGGCGGCGGACGGGTGGCGGGCGGCGATAATCCGGTTACGTTCACGTACGTGCGCCGGCGGTGCGCGGAGGGTCGTCTCCGATTGGCCGGTGCCTCCCACCGATGGGCGGTCACCCCCACCGCCGGCGGCCGCGGGACGTGGTCGTCGCCGCCGCCGTTAACAGTCGCTTAACCAATCGTTTAGTCAACCATCGACTGCACACCGTCGCGTACAGATCAACTCTGTCTCGCGCGCGCGCGCTCTCTCTCCGCCCGTGTTCAGTTGGAATTATACCGTTGCCCGGACACACCGTACACGCATTTACGGTCGTCCGCGCGAGTGTGTCCCGTGCACCCATTGCGTTATTTCGCGTACGAACATCATCGTCGTTCGCGTGACAATCGTATCAGATCTCGTCGCGCGTTCGTGGTTTTTTTTTTTTTTTAAGCTTTACGATTTTTTTTTTTTTTTTTGTTTTCCCCTTCGGACCGCGTGTTTTTTTAGTGCGCGTTGTGCGTGCGACTACAACATCGTAACATCCATCGTAACGCGACCGTCTCGCGGTACACTGCAGCGCGTCGTGAATCGATCGGCGGCAGTGTCACACCCGACAACAGAAAACAATAGAGACAATAGAGACCGCGGTTCCGTTACGACGGCGACGACACTCATCGGTACGGTGTCCGGCCAAAGTGCGACTTTGCTGCAGCAGTGGCCGGTCGGGCTAGCAGCTGCGGTGGCCACCGGTGGAGGAGATAACGGTAACAGGACGACGACGACGGCGACGGCGATGACCGTGCACGAACTGACGGCCGCGTCGGCAGCCGGCACCATGCCCTTGCACCACATGGGACGGTCCAGGTTCATGATCACCGACATACTGTCAGATAACGGGCGCAATAACGGCGGCGGCGGCAACGGTTCGCCCGTGTCGCCGGCCTCGTCCACGGACGGGCCGCGTGATCTGTCCCTGCACGGCCGCGCGTCCTCCGGCAGCAACGGTGGCGTGGGCGGTCTGCAAGGACCCGGGCCCGCTGGTGGAGGAGACTCGGACCTGAGCGACGACCATGAAAGTGGCACTGACAGCGGGCTGCCCGGCGACAACTCTTCAGTCTGCTCCAACGGTAAGTTAGTAGAAGTTAGTAAATCCAACTGCCTATTCGTGTTCTCAATGTTCAAGTATCGATTTCAAAAATTCGTCTCTTCTTATGCGGGACCCGTCGAAATATTTTCAAAACGTTCAGCACTCGACCTTCTGTTAAATCAGTCATCTGCTCATCGATTTTATCGTGTCGAGCCATATTTTCCTTTCTTGGTTCACGGATAAACACGATTCGTTTTTGTATATAGGTACCTTCCTGCGTGTAAACACTTATATATTTTTTTTGTTGTTCGGCGACGGTCATTTATATAATATTCCTACGTCGTTTGGCACTTATATTTATTACGTGCATGTCTTGTACAATTTCGGTTCTCGAGACGTAGTTAAATGCATCTTATGATAACATCATAAACGATTTCCTGGACAATCACGGTGACTGCGGCGGTGGTTAGGTCATGAAACCCGCGAAAATAATCGTCCGTTTTGCTCGTGTAACTTGAGTACCTCTATACCGTAGTAACAATTGTTAATGCAACATTCCATGAACTCACGTTAGTTTATCGGTCATTTTTTCCCCTAAACGATCGGTTGTACAAACAACGTATACCTATAACGCGAATAAATAATCTACAAATATAATGTTGAATATGTGTATTTATTCATATCACGGATTTTTTTTTTTATGCGCCATAATTTCCCATCACATGTAAAACACTTTATATATTCGTTACGTGCTTCTATATAGTGTGCGGTACTGCATGTTTCTGAATAGTATAACCATTTACAGGAAAAGAAGTTTTTATATCTACATGTATTATAATAATAACCGTCTTTTCATCTCATCTTTGTACTGAAGTATATATATAACAATCGATTTTATCGGTAAAACGCGTAAACAGACGAAATCAAAATAAATCTTTATAAACGTATATAAAATGTATATGCTATATTTATAAGTAACGCGATTTGAGTTTGGGCGAAAAATTCGTTTCGCGAGGTACACGCGTATTATACAAACAACATATAGGTGTATACACACACATTGTCACATTTATAACAATATACAATATCACGAAAAGTCGGTATGAATATAATCGCGGTGCGAATAAATCGATACACACCTAAATTATTATTTTATTATACGTGTGCGCATATATAAATGTATACGTCGAAATATAAACGTATTCACAATGTGTACGTTACAATAAAACGCTAACTGCAATTTTGACGTTTGAATCGGCCGTGTCGGATTAACATCAACCCCCTCAGACAAAGAACGTAATCCGTAAGTGCGTACTCGAGATTTCCGCCCTTGCAATATTATTATACTATTATTATTGTTATTATATCAATGGACGCACTATTTTCCGGGACAACGTGTAATGTGTACGTGGAGTGAGAGCGTTATAGGTAGTTATAATAGGTAGTCTTAATTATATGTTACTTATCAGTTTTTTACTCTTTTTGTTTATAAATTATATAGGTAAATATACATAAATGTAGGTAGATAGTTGTATGACTTGTATGGATATAGTAAGATGCACATTTTCTGTTAAAATAGCAAATTCCTAAACACTTGTCTCCACGATTTCATCCTTCTACCACGTTGTATTAATAATACGTTTATTTTATTCAATATATTGAATAAAATAAACGTATTAGACGTACTATAGACACTATAGTGTCTATTATATCCTACGTTAATTTCGATCATTTTGCAAGTGTATTAATCACTATATCGTAATGGAATGTAATCCGTATACAGGTAGGATCAGACCAAATCACTGCAGTCTTCGTGTGTCCTGACATGCAATTATACAATTCAGATACGCATGCTTATGTATGCATTCATGATTCTTTCAATAAATTTACTATACAAACGTTACTGCAGTGTATGTTAACACTACGTCAATATATAGGACTACTTAGCAAAGTGTGACTATTGCAATACACAGATGAATTATATTTATGATTATTATGATACAACCGTGGCATATGTGTGTATGTGAGTGAAACGTTTTATGAGCTCGAAGGATGAACTTTGTGGGTTTTTTTTGGAAATTGAATATTTTACGAGGTGTTTTTATGACTTTTGCTTTTTTACATGACGGTTTTTTTCATTCTTAATTTCTGTATAGCTTTTCTTATATATAATACGTTTCTTTTTTTTAAATATTTCACCCCTGCGGAAAATTCGATATGCCTGGAGGGTAAAACCGTTTTGTCGCGACTTCGTAATATGACGCTTACGACTTGTGTTTTCTATATTTTTTTTTTCCTTTTTGTAATCGACTGCAGTGGTGTTTTCACACGCGACACCGCCGTATGTCACAGCTTTATAACCATATAATTCCGAAATAATTTAAAACTCTATTGAAATAATAATTATCTAACTGTGTTGTATACCTGTATGAATTACCTGTGATTTTCGAATGACTACTGTGGTAAATAATACGGTTGCAAGTTTTTCAATATTAATCGATTGGATTCAATTGAAGCCGTTCAAAATGTGAACAGTCGTTTTATAAGCTTGTAGGTATATATTATATTTGTTTATATATACCTATATAATAATATCGTGATCGCGTCACGCGATTTTCAAAAAAACCAAATAAATAATAATAGCAACAAAATGTCCGAAATTACATTTGTTATTATTTTATTTTTATTTTTTTGTAGTTTTGACAACCGTTAATGTCGTGCACAAACTTGTTTGGGTAAAACATCGTTTAAATTCAACGCGCACGAAACTCCATACAACCGATTGAACCGCAATTTAATTCTCTGTGTAATATACCATTAAATACTAGCTATAGTTATAAATGTACCTAATCATAAACATATATAGGTATCGTATATAAATAATTATACTAGTTCAGTGGGAGTATACATGTATCTCTGTAAGATATGTATCGCTACTGGAATATGTACTTAATAATAATACTTATATATAAATATATAAAGAACTCACGGTAGATAAACGTAAAGAAAAGGGTTGGTCGCTTCACATACACACATGATTTTAAGTGTAAACGGAAGGTATGTTTTACCCATTTAAATTGTTATCGCTTTTTTTTTTATACCTACCCCGGTGTGTCCATGGATCGTTTTTGAAAGATATTTTTCATAACCATTTATTAAATATGTCTATAGAATTCTTATATATGTGTTTTTATCGTTTTTATACGTATATAGCAGCGCAAACGGATTTTTAATAAAAATGTATTCTATTTTGAGTGAATTTATAAATCAAAAATATGTCAATAAGTAGATACAATGTGGACTATAAATATAAAATAAAATAAACCTTTATAATTTTTTTAATAAATAATTTGTTCATTATATACTTATGGTGTTCTGTATAATAAATATGTCCGGTTAAGTGTGGTAACGATTTCGTGTTATAATTCTCCAATTACGAAATAATTCTAAAGTCTTTCTTTTTGCATTAAATTTGATATAACTATGTATAAGAACTAACAGATCGAAAAAAATTATCAACAAGACTGGTTATAATTATAAGCTGAACGTAAAAAAATTTAAATATGATTTTCAATTTCCATACATGTATATAATATTATATTGTGTATTTATTCACAAACAGTAAGAATATATGCTAGTAATAGAAGATTTTTTTTTTTTGAAATCGTCGTAAAACCAAATAATTTCATACTGTTCGCGTAGAAAAAAATAAAATAAAAATAAAACATTTGAAAAATCATTGTACGGGACCGCAGACGGAACTATTATATACTGTTACAACTTATTCCTTCGTACTTATATATATATTATAATATATGTGGTACACAAGGCCTCATAAATATAACTTGGCGATGGCAGCAGCTCTCCTCACGCGCGCTCGCGGTAATTAACGCGTTTCCGTCCGTCCCGAAGACCTTTTTTTTTTTTTTTGTCGCCTCTTTCCGGAACGAAATACTATGTATACGTGCACATGTATTATTATAAGCTCATGTACATATCATATACGTATATATTTATATATAAACGTGCAGAGTTTTTTTTCTATCTCTAAGTAATAAAAGGGAACATATATATGTGGTATACATAAGAAATAGAAAGAAGAGAAGAGCTGTGCTGTGCTCCGAGACTATGGTGATATTTATTTCCCGCGACTGCTAATTGGCGCTAATACACGCGTCGACGGCCGTAAATCGTCTCCGTCGTCGACACGCGGATAATAACAAGAATAATAACGTACAACAATATTATTATTGCGCCCGTCCGAGTATTATAAACACACGCGTATGCAGCGTAACGTGTGTGTTCGTGCAGCGGTGCAATGGTATCTCTCCCCGGCAGGAACCGAGCCAAAATTAACTTGTACGTCGTCGCAGAACCCAAATTAGACATTTGCTTCTCGGCAGCAAATCGGTATAGAGTTTTTCCGCCATATATACGTGTGTGTGTGTGTGTGTGTGTGGGCGCGCAGCCACAACGGGACTGAGATTGCGGAAAAGAGGACACGATGCGTGTCTGAGAATGATGCGGTAACGAAAACGCATGCAGGACGCTGCGAACGACTGCGTTTCGACAAATACCATAGGACGCGCCTGGAGCGTTTGGAAACGCAGTCCTATCACATCGTTTAGTGAAAAACTTCCACAAAGTTCTGGACACACTAAGCAAAATACGTACATGGTTTATTTTCGTACAACTCATTGCAATGTGTGTAACGTGTTTGCGTAAATAGATATACGCGCGTGTAATAGGTTCTATTGTCGTGTCAAACGTCAATATTTTGAATTCGATCCGATGGGTAATATCGATAATTTCCATAAACATGTTTGTGTTTACTTTTACTCGCTGTTCACCTTATCGGGAATCTGTACTGCAGTTAATCGTATACATATACAACTATACGATGGACAAATTTTTACATTCGCAGGTTTTTAACTGATATCGCTCCCATAACATCATCGTTATCGTTGCGCGTAATATTAATTCACTGCCGCAGAACTATTTCCAACGTACATATTATATTATAAACGTCTTGTTCGCGCGTTTTACCCATATATTAAACGCCTGTACCGACGTGTGAAAATATTTTATACAATATATCTTATGTGAGGACGAACCAGTGCATTTTATTTTATATTAATTAACTATATTTACTATGCGCAGTACAATTTTCGATGACGACGAATACTCGTATAACAAGTCGAAACATTTTTTAACAATCGTTTAACACTCAGTCCTGTCACGCCATCGTGTACAATATTAATATAATGAATAATGTGTCATTACAGCCGCCGACAATGCAATCTTATAATCATTTCTTACCCGACTGAATAGATATGTTATAGGTAGTTTTCGGGATGAGAGACGCTAGTGTCGCGCGCGCGCGTGAATATAGGTATACTATGATATAATATATACAAATACAAAAGTACAATATACCAAACAGCTTCGCAGTAAAATGTAATGTACATATACATATAAGTAGGTAGTAGTAGTAAGTAGTAGTATACTACAACGTTTATATTATTATCGTTTTTATCATTATTATTTTTATTATTTTGTCTGTAGTTCGCTCGTGTATTATATTCGCTTTGAGTATTATGTTTAATAGTGGCCAAGGTTATGTCCCGGTGAGATTTGTCAAGCACGCCGGTTGATTAAAACGCGTTTGTGCGAGTGTTGATGATTACAATAATACTTTATACATATGGAATACATTTACTCGTATTTATATTCATACATACATACATACGTTGTCATCAGATAATACATTTGCAGTGCCAATACAAAAATAACATATACTTTTTTATTATACGAGTACATATATAAATATGTGCATACGGAAACAATTTGTCTATGAGTACAACATATATGTATTAATAATACAACAGATAACAATTACTATAGAAATTATATTCAATATTGTATGAGAACAAAAAAAACCCCCAATTATTGAATTGTTTCCGCTCACATATAGATTGATACAATAAATTGTTTATTTCGGGGAGGTAACCATAGAAGGTTTACCTCCGATGAAAAATATTTATCGGCCAACAAAATCGAATAATTTACTCCTATGAGATACCGCATATCACATATCCCCTTCTCGAGATGGAAGGTCTGGAATAAACACTGATCCAATATATAAAACATGAAACGTATTAGGTATAACGTACACTTGAACGCTTTTTAATAACTATATTATCATTTTCAATTTTTTCAATTCGTCTCATTTGAAAATGTTAAATCGACAACCATACGCATAATCGTCGGTATGCACTTCGCATAATGTATGTATTCTGTTATACGTAAATGTCTTGGCGAACAGAACACCACAGTCCTAGGAAGGAGGGGTGGGCGATTTTTACCTGCAGTATACTCATCAGACTACTACAATTTTTCACTCGAGGTGTATATAAGTATACCCTTATACAGCTTTGTGTTATGTTGCAATATAAGCCTTGTCGCGGTGGGTCCGCAACGGCCGGACTCCGCGCACGTTTTGTGACCCCGTCAACGGCGGCGTGTTTCGCTTAGGTAAAAATCTATTATTAATAAACGTTGTTTCGTATAAACGGCAAGTATACGATATATATGTAAGTACGGTGATGGAGTCCCGTGCTAGTATATGAACACGCGAAGTTCTTGGCAACCGAGCCGTTTTACTGTATAAACAACACCCTTAAATAATATAATGTTGTGTTTATGATTTTAGATATTATAAGCCCTTTTCCACCGTTTCCCGTTCTCGTCCTTTCCCGTGCCGGGAGTTGCCCTTTACACACACACATACATACACACACACACATATATATATATATATATATATAATATACATACATACCCTTAATGGTCAATATCAGGCTTTTCACGACCCGCACGCCATCATATTACACTTGCACACCACTCTCACCGTGGCGCTCACACACTCGTTTTGGAAAATTCGTGCGTGTAATAATACGAAAACAACCAACAACATGAAAGGACACCCTCGCCTCCCGAGGTCGACCTCTCGTGACTATTAATTTTTCCGAATCCCAGCCTTTACCACCCGTGTGTGTGTGCGCTCGCAATATGATATTACTATTAAGTCACACACGCTGACGCGCATGTATATTACATGTTTCGTATACCGATCGACTTTATTATTTTTCGACTACATAATTATTATGAGGGGTCCACTTCTTTACCCCTATCCGTCGAACCAAACGTACAATACGCGAAAACGTAAACAACTCTTGATCGTACCACTATTCGTATGAAATATTTGCGGGAAGATATGCAATTTGCTGCGCAGCCAAGCATCTTATTTATTCAAGTCACGATAAATATACATATAATATAATACAGTTCGAGCCGCCCATTAAACGATTTTTGAATTGAGATTCAGTTTATAGACAGTTTATACCATATACGGATGTACGTTCGCGCCGAGCCGTAATTCGGTTATAGCGACTGTTGCAGCACACGTGTATTGCATACATATACATCTAATGTGTGCTGGCGTCGAGTCCATTAGCGTTTTATAAACGAATTGGGCGGAGACTTTGAAATTACGCGTACGGCATGTATACGTGTCTACACTCGAGCGCAAGTTGCGCTCTCACGCGCGCACCCAAGTCGAGCACCATTAAATTGATATATCTGTGCGCGCGAAACGATGGTTAGGAATACACGGGAGGGAACTATGTGAGGTTGCTGCTGCAAAACTATATAAAGAGGGCGCGGGCGCAATAACGACTGGCGGACGGACGGGAAGGGTTGACGGAGATAAAGAGAGAGACAGAGGGGAAGAAAGCCGAAAAGCCGCGTTGCCCGCGTTGGTGGTGCGCGAGCAGGCGGCTTCGGCGGGAAAACAAGAGCGTTACCAACACGTACTCTGCGCTCACTCGTCCTGCCCGGCCCCGCCCCGCCCCGCTGACGTAAAGACCCTTACGCTTATGTATATTTATACATATATATTAGCCGCAGCAACAGAAGGGCTGAACGGCGGCGGACCACTTAAGCCCCTCTGGCGCACGCACTGCGGCTCATTGGCTTTCGGTTCTCCCCGCCACTGTTCACCCTTTCTTTGCCGACAGATTTCTTTCTTTATTTCCCATTTTACTCCAATTACCGTCGCCCCGCCGCTGCCTCTGTCCGCGCACACTCGGATATTTATATACGTACACACGCACACACATTGTATTACCCTTCTCGACTGCTGCAGCAGCCATTGTGTAGGGACACACACTAACACCCCGTCGTCGGTAAGTTTACGTGTATTTATACATGGATATTGTTCGACATGGTGTTGCGATCGCACTGTTTTATTTCCGTTTTTTTTTTTTATTTATTCAACCCCGTTTTATTTTTTAAATGCAAATCGACAACAAATTCTACACACACACACACACACGCGTGTTGCGTATTATATTATGATGTATACAACGGGTTTTTCGCACCCGGTCCACCACGACAACCACCCGAATATATGAATCCCTTGTTCGGTTTCGCGCGTCACCGTTATTATATTACGTTATTGTATACGATTATAAATATCACGGCATTTTATCGACGTATCTGTTCAATAGTACGAGGCCAATAACTCGAAATATTTTTTTTTTTTTTACGGGAATTTTATTGATTTTACTCAATCCATAATATTAAGTTGCTCAATATGTATGTCATCGATAATTCTATGCTTGTTTCGATATCTTCAGCGTTAAATAATTCGTATGAAACCGTGAAAAATGTATAAGAATATTTATATTTGTCTAAACTATTATCTAGAAAGGAGGAAAGGATTTATTGATAATGGTCACGCCGCCTCTCAATCAATGAGCGTAAACTTTTTGTTGCTGTTTTGGAGATTTCTTGCCTTTTCCTTATGTATGGCGATGACGAAAAATAACATTTAGTTTTTCCGTACACGACTAGCCGTTTATTCATTACAAGAGCGTTTTGTGCGATTTTTATCGTCGATTAGCCACTAATGACCGCAGTGCGTTGACGGCGTTTCGCGTGATATGCGTGTCCATTACCTAATACTGCCGGGACTCGCAGTGTTATTTATATATATTATATATTAGAATTATACACTACAGTGTACGCATTTGAGTCGCCGCCATTAAGCTTTATATCGCGTTTCGGCATTTATAACATTTTTTTATATATACGATTATTATATTTTTTTCGTTTTTGACACATAACGTTCGTGTAGACTAGTACAAAACACAATTATAATGTTCGACAAAATATATATTAGTATACGGTTACATTTTATATATGTTGTACTACTTACCCATAGCTCATATGCACATGACGCGCTTTTTACCGATATATTGTGTACGTCGTACTGTTAAAATATTTACAATGTTTGTATGTACATGTATATTAAACGCTGTACAAGGAATCGGTGGTTATATAATACATTTTATTTATGTTTAAAGGTCACAGAGACGATGATGGCCGAAATTCCGGTTCGAATCTCAGTAAGAAGCAAAGAAAAGCGCGGACGGCGTTCACAGACCATCAGTTGCAAACGCTCGAAAAGAGCTTCGAGCGGCAAAAATACCTGAGCGTACAAGACCGCATGGAATTGGCGGCGAAGCTCAATCTATCAGACACCCAAGTCAAGACCTGGTATCAGAACAGAAGGTGAGGCTCTTTTATTCTACTCATTTCAAGCTTATAAAAACCCAAACCCTACTGCCCTTAATCCTTTGATACGTAGGATTTAGATTATTAATTACTATTTTAATATCTTGATACCCACAAACACGTATTTAGTTTATAGTATTAAGATGAAATAAGTGTTTTGTTTTTGGATTGCATATGAAAATACAGCACTCAATCGTAAAAGTTGTGTTAGGATTAAAAAAAAAATACATTTTATCTGTTTCGACATAAATCGATTCATTTTGAATTAATAATACATACAAAGTTATTTTACAAAAAAAAAAATATTTTTATTTACTTTCATTGTAAAACTCATAACCGCGCATCATAATGTTATATAAAGTAAGCAAAATGTATCCATTTGGTACAATTTTTTTGTTTCATCGATTCCAAAAATTATTTATCATCATGAATTATTTGTATTTACGTATGTATATCGATGGCATTCGATAGTGGATTACATGAACGTGGAAAAATCGAGATACCTACGGATTTCAGAATACGCCTTTTACATCATCGTGTAATATAGGATCGTTGGCACATTGGAGTTAAGATTAATATATTATTACTGTATTTATAAGTAAATACGAGTATACATAATGAGCAATTAAAACCGAAACATCTGATCTTATAAAAAACGATACAACTACATTATAATAGTATACATTACAACGCTCGTAAACGGTAAAAATTCGGCACAGGGTTATTATAATATTCATCATAATATTACAACATTGTGTATATACGAGTGCGTTGAAAACGGATGTGCCCACGTACAAGAGGAGTGAGTTGTTGGCGAGTGGGTGAGTCACGAGGGTTGCAATATGATATCGTGTCGGATACGCGTTTTCGTGTGCCGCGGCCGACGAAAATATTGTAATTGTCAGTTGGCGAAGAGAGCGGGGTCGGAGGGGGTGTGCAAAGGGGTTTTCAAAAGCGTTTTGGATAATATTTGTATAATATAATAATATTTGTGTACAACCACACGCGCAAAGACAAGTGTAAAACGCTACGTTTTCTTTTTCCATACGCTAATGTATTATATCTCCGGCAACACACGCAAACGTTATACGAGTAATACTATACGTTGCAAATTCCGCCCCTTAATAATAATAAAAAATCGTTGCCCTCTCATCGTAGCCCTCAGGATTTATAGATCTATAGCAAGAGCGAAATGTATACGATTTTTATCGCGCCGTAACGGGTTTGGCACGCATAAATGAACATTTATATACGCAGCCGACCAAGGGTTCGAGTCAAGTTTTTATACTACGTGTAAATTGGAGGGTAGTCGAATGTATTGTCGTCCTGTATGCGCTCTAGTATGTATCTCATGTATACATACGTGGTTCGGATGCAGTTATATCCCATATGTACACATACAAATTTTATTATACACGCCTATCGTTTTGAGACTTCTTTGGCGCGTCTACCGCAATCCACTCATTTGTCAAGTATACCATATACATGTATCGGTACAATGAGGCCCATATAAACGAGGTGTACACAATATAATGTGACCACTCCAAAGGAGGCGAAACGACTGTAACCGCTCGGCGGGGTGCGTAAATATACAATTGCCGTAAGCAATATAACAACACGTGGTGTGTGCGTGTGTGGTTAACTTCTCGGCTAATATTCCACTTATTACACATGCGCTCGCTGTCCACGGCGCGTTACGACAATATGTTACAATAGAGTGGCGGTGGTTTATCCTAAGAAGAAGAAAAAGAAGAAGAAGATAAAGAAGAGGTGGTAGCGGAAAAAAACGGCAAATATCATTTGAAGTGTGAAAAATCGGTACACACGCGTTACAATAATAAACGACACTAATAATGTAATATAATAGCTGCCTCCGGGCTGAAAAGGACGAGAAGCGTTCGCGCATGTTTGTGTATACGTACCTATACGCATACGTTGTTATACCGGTGTTTGGTGAAGGATTTTGGCGTGTCATTATATTATTGTCCTCGTACGGGCGTGCGGTTAAGGAGATAATTTATCGTGCGGTCCGCGTACACGTGTACAATGATGTTAGATGTACATCTGCTGCGGCGGCGACGGCAAAGGATTGGCTCGGCCGATGACAAGGGGGTTGGACCCAGGGACGATGACGATAAAACGACTCGTTACACATCGTATATGCGCTCGCGTATAATATGTGTAGTTGTAATTAATTGAACGGTGTGTTTGATCGGTCGAAACGACAGAGTATCGCGAAAATCTAACATATCTGGTGCGTTCACTATGAATTATGATGATTATCATTGAGCATAAAAGTTAGCAGCGTCTTGATTGTCTACACCAGCGGTTCTTAACCATAGGGTCGCGACCCAATTTCGGGTCATCAATAATTTTAAATGGGTCGGATAAAAATTTAAAACGTTAGTATAATATTTTTATTTTTAAGTCTTATAAATAATAAATGAAACCTCATGTACGTTTGTTTTCATGGAGAAAAATTTCAACGAGATTTTTTGAATTAAGAACTGAAATAGAAGTATTTTTATGAGAAAAAAATTCACTGTTTTCCATCCATTTTCAAGATATAATTTGGTTGACAAAAGTTGCGTATCTATCAGATATTTTTTCGTTATTAAATGAGTTAAATTTGAGTATGCAAAGGCCATAAACTAATATGTTTACATGTTGTAATAAAGATATTAACTAAAATCAAAACCAAATCAAGAAACAAGCTTGATATCGAACCCACGATGCGTATTTCACTTACTAACTCTAAATTGATTCATTGGTAAAGCAACATCAAGACCAAGGAAGTTATTCAATTAAAAATTATTTAAAAAAACAATACAATATTATTAAAAGAAATGTTTATTTTTAAATATAATGTAATTAATATCATGACTTGTTATGAATACAAGTAATATGAGTAAAAAATGTTATTCAATTAAGAGTACCAAATAGTTATTTTTTATTCTGCCATTGAATATTATTTATAAAAAGGTCACAGGAAAAATTTGATAAATATCTTGGGTCGCCACTACACAAAGGTTAAGAACCGATGGTCTACACACTATTATTTAACAACCATCGTGCGTTGACTGCGAACGACTTATCTATTATATTTGCTGCGACATATTCGTTTTCGCATTATGCAAACAATCGCTAACAAATAAGATCAGAGACGGCGCAAGGGGGTGGGCAATAGGGGCAGTTTCCTAGGGCTCCACGCTTTAAATTATAATTAAGGCCCCGCGGTTCTGATATAACTGAACTTAAAATATTTTATTAATATAAATTATAAGACCCAAAATTTATTTTTCCCAGGGTCTCACAAACTCTAGCACCGTCACTGAATAAGATCACTGATAATCAAGCTTATACACATTGTTGAATGATCATAAAAATCGATATCTGGCAGAGTTTAATAGAAATCATTTGAGTTTTCTAAGGGATTTTAGCCAATATCTATAAAAAGTTCAAAGATTACCGATGATATTCTTTCCTCCTTGAGTCATCGACATTTCACCGTTTTGTTCCCAACAAAACGTACGATAACAATCTTATTCGGTCGATTAATTTTTATAACATTTTAAGAGACAACGTCATAAAACCAAAACGAGCGTCGAGTTCTCCTCTTTCGTAATTTCTACTTTATTCCTTACTTCAATCCTTAGCCCCCTCACATTGGAATAAACGGACGGGCACGAGTTTGTGTAAACCTTCGTCATGCAGCGTTCTATCGCAATACTATTACGTTTTAACGTTTTCGAAAAGGCTCATTTCCGCGGTGCATCAAACAACGATGTCTAAATTCGACTGCGCTACGGAACATCCGTTTGCGCGCATTACATATGATTATAAACTTTCTTTTGTGTTTGCCGTTCATTGATATATCCTTGCGTAACGCTAGCCTATTACGTTTTACAATACGATGGTAATATTATTAACGGCCGTATCTTCTGAACGCGTACGTGCCTCTATACAATGATTGCTCAGCTGACCATTTAGAAAGAATTAAAATTCGCTGTCGGTCGGTGCTGCACGTTATTACGATACAATTATTATTGCGATGTGTACACGTTTTCACGGTCGAAAAGTTGGATTTACCGATCGACAGACGTGGCCGGGTAGGCCCAGGTGGATTTATACGCACCGATCAGACAAATATAAATCAAAAGCTAATTTTAGTCGCGTCCACGCTGACATTGCACGTTATACATCATATACACGATAATATTATAATATACGTATTGCGGCTTATATCTACTTGTCTGGCGATGGTCGAGATAAAATCGCGCGCTAAAAGTATAATTGCACATTATATTTATATACATACTCGTGCTGCGAGCGAATGACGCAAGATGAATGCGTTTGTCCCGGATAAAGTGTATACGCGTTTAAAAAACTGTTTTCGCCTTTGGCACGCAGCCGACAAACCGGAATCAGGAAATTAGAATAAATCCGTTACGAACAATTAACCGCTTGCACGCGCGATATACCTACATATAATTATCATAACGTTTATTTCATGATCGCGCGCGCGCACCTTTCACACTTTGGCTTAAGATGACGATTTCATCGTTTTCCACCACCGCGTCTAGTGCACGAAAAATATTATTCCAATGCCGCCCGAACATGGGCAATCGTTTTTAAAGACGAACGAAGAATCTAATCTACACATAATACACGTGGATCGTTTTCGACCGACGAGCTCGTATACATTACGGGTAAACGCGTGCCGCAGCGTACATGTTGCTGTTGTGATTTCTTTTTTTTTTGCGCCTCCGATATGTTTTTTTTTTTAATCGATACGTCGTCGGCGTCGTCTTCGTCGTAGTCGCGCGCTGTCTCATCGTTTCCGCGGCGGACGATGAAGACGTCAAACGGTCGCGCGCGCGCAAAACTCGACGGAAAAAAAATAAGCAATCATCTCCTCTCGTTATATATATAGATACCTCTCCTGTACAGACGGATATGGTGAATGTCAAAAAAATAGCGGAAAGACCTAGGGCGTAAAAAAAAAAAATAAACCCGAAACGTTCCGACCGTAATGTACACTGAATCGCGTGCGTGTCGAGAAAACATAAAGAATACACGTATACGCGCGTATCAAACGTCATTCTGTATGGATCGCATCACGGCCGTAGCTCGCGCTCGCTCTCGTTCGCTCGTGTACACCGTCTGGATACGTCGTAACGTAATAAATATCGATAAAAGGAATTTTGTGTGTTTTCCACGGGTCGCTCAGGTCACGTTCACCGCATCCATTGTTACCGACCGCTAAATATATATATATATATATATGTGCGCGAGCGGACGACCAGGATGACCGTCAGCGTAGGCTCGTGCTCGAAGCACGTCGTCGTGTTTAATGGAAAAACATGCGTGTACCGATCGTTTTCTTATTACGTTCGGCCCCTCCCGCGCCGGGTACACCGGGGGGAGTTATTTTTTTCCATTTCAGTTTTCGTTCCGTCAGCGTTTCGGGTGTAGTATAACAATATAGAAGAAAAAAAAAATTAAAAATAAATAAAAAAAAAAAACACGAGAGATACCTTTGTATCGACTGTACCGCGCCCGTCGCCTGTTGGCCGGCCATTACAAAACTCATGAAACGAATCGATCGTGTCCGTGGCCGCCGCCACCACTGCTATTATATTTATACGATATTGATGTTTTAATCGATGCGCACACGTATGTACGCGACGCGACACTGCGTACACGAGAGGAAAATTAGATAAAAAAAAATAAAAAATATCTAAAAAAAAAAAATCGTCCGCTCTCTGAAAATAATAATCTATATTATGTTTACGGCGCGTGCGCGCACGTGTATTTCGTGTAGGTTCGTCCGCAGCAGCCGTCGGTCCGTCGTATGGGATCGGCGAGAAAATCGTATCAAAATCTCGAGTCAGCAGTCCGACAGCTGTCCCGGCTGTCGATGATCCTCCCGGAAAACGATCTCCATTCGTACGAGTGGCAATGGTATTTGTTAAAATCGGGTGTACACGGCACTGTTCGTTATGATTAAGTATACGGTAGGCGTACTTGCACTCATAACGCTCTTTTATGGTGAGTGGAACCAGCCGATGATGTTGTAACGCGCGAAAAATGTTCGAACAACGAATATTTTCATTGCTATACGTGTGTATTCGTCGGCTCCATTATGAAACTATCTCCAAGGTTTCCGGCCAAACAATTACGTCTTTTAATGAAACCGTTTTTTTTTACACATATAACATCATTCGTATGTATATAGTATGCCTATAATACGTAATATCGCAGTGCGCCGTGTACGGACGAGTGTAATGACCAGTGTTGGTACTTATTAAGATAAATTTATCTAGATAAATAACGCTAAGTTATCTAATTACTTAACTAAGATAAAATGTTTACTTATCTAGATAATTGTCTGTATTCTTGCAAAGATTAGAGTTATTTTTATTCTTGTACGGAGACGAATCCAACAAATCAGAGATCATTAAAATCGGTCCAGCCGTTCTTGAATAATAAATTCTGTAACTAACCCGACTTTCTTTTATATATATATAGATTTTGTATTTATAATCATAATTCATGTATTATTATTAAGTAATTATTTTTGGTGTGACATTTTATTTGTATTTTCATGTCGGAAAATTATTTTTGGTATTTTTAAACTTAATTTCTTATTTTTCCACGGAAGTTCCAAATATAGTAGGTATTTGATTTTAGTAAACACATGTAACTCATACGCTGAATAGTCAATACTTCACTCTTGGAACCCGTAAATTCGTAACTACTTATAGAATAATTAAAATCATTAAATTAAGATTATATAGAAAACAAAATTGTTAACTTCAAATAATTTTTTATATATTTTGTATTCATCCTGATACGTATAGAGCAATTTTCATTATTTTTTTTTTGTGCAACATTTTAGTGATTAACTATCATTAAATATTATACATTGTATATAAATACTGTTTAATGGTACACTACATTACTACAATAAACATTAAACACCTAAGTACCTATTGATATAATGATTATAATTGAGTCTTCGTAGATATTAATACAAATATGAAATATTGACCAAAAAATAAAAAATTCTGAAATTTTTTTTTTTTTTATCTAGATAAAAATAAAATTATCTTTTATCTTTATTTAGATATTTTAACTTTTTTTATCTATTATCTTTATCTAAATGAATTTGGACATATTATCTTTCATCTTTATCTAGATAAATTTTGCATTATCTATTCCCAACAATGGTTATGACACGCTTATTTTGTTTTTCATTTCCATCCCGAAATCGAATTACCGTACACAATTAAATGCGAACGCGCTGATAATAACACGGGCCGTGGACCACGAAACGTTGTGTACATGATGTTTATATATGTATATGTATATGTATTATCTGTGTGAGGTAAAAACCGGACGCACAACGAAATTACTAGTTTGAAAAATTAATTTTCAAAACCAACTCACACCGCGCTCTTACGTTGTACGACATCTCCGTGCGAGTTTTCACGAAACATACGTGCACGTTTACACCATTTATACGCACTACGCGATCCGTTTACGTATGTGTAACAGATAACATTCGTATTAGTACACCACAGTCGATTGACACGTAGGTTGAACCGATTCGCTTAGCCGTACAAACAATCCGTGGCCTTTTCGCCGCCCGTCGAATTACACGTAATATTAAACAGATACACAATAGTTTATTGTTTCCGACGCGGTAACCATTACACACTATACACGTAACGCAAGTAGAACTATAATCGCACCCGACTTTGTATTCTTTTGTCTCTGTTATGACGCATAAAACAACCGTATGCTTGGAAACACGATGGATGTACACGATGGTAGGTACTTACACTACATGCGCGTGCGTGTTTCTGTACGCGTAACAAGCGAGAAATCGAACAAAACTCATAAACGCCTCGCGGCATGGACGAAACGTCGCGTGTTTGGACAAACCTGCGATTTCCGGTGTACATTATTTAGACGATATGATTGAATAACCGATTTAATTTCTAAGGAATACGTGCCGGGACCCGTACGCGCGCGTACAACGGTCAAAATTTGAAATGTCTCCTCAAGTGTATGCGTAGGTATATCAACAGAAGCGTACCCGACGGGTTATCCGAAATTTTTGATAGGACTCGATTTTATCGGAGGTGTATTTGTAAATCTAAAATCCACGTTGAATTCAAATTTCGGTACTCGCACACTGACTCTCATCCCTTCACGCCAACAATCGAGTGCGTGCGTATCATATAATTATGATGTTACCGTCATAATGTGATATCAATACGGTTCCTGTCGGCCCTTGAAATGTAAAATGATTGATTTTAAACATATGCATGCAACTACTGTTTGGAACCGTTTTGCTAACCCGGCGTTCGTTGTTTTTTCTTTTTGTTCGGCAGGACCAAGTGGAAGCGTCAAACCGCAGTGGGCTTGGAACTGCTGGCCGAGGCGGGCAACTACGCGGCGTTCCAGCGGTTGTACGGAGGGCCGCCTTACGGTTGCTGGCCGTATCCAGCCGGCACGGCCTCGGCCGCTGGTGGTGGTAGCGGGGGTGGTGTCTCGGGTGCGGGAGGCGCGCCTTCCGCCGCGGACCTCTACTACCGGCAGGCAGCTGTGGCCGCGGCCGCGGTTTCCACGCTCCAGAAGCCGCTCGCCTACCGGCTGTACCCGGGCATGGGCGGTGGACCGGGCAGCGCGGGCACCGGCGCGGCCGGCCACCATCACCATCACATAGCGCCGCCGCCACCGCCGCTCGCCCACCCGCTGTACTACGGCGGTGTCCACCATCCGGCCGCGATGCCGCCCATGCCGGGCCGTAGCCCCACGCCCGAACCACCCCGGTCGTCGCGCGACTCGCCAAGGTCGATGGTGGACAGCCGGCCCGGTTCTGTGGACGTCGAGGACGACGGGTCAGACTCGCCGAACGTGGACGTTTAAACCGCGCAGGGACGTGACGTTCTACAAAAAGTCGTCCCTCCCGCTCCTGTGCATCATCCATCGTACAGCGTTGTGTCTATGTAGTTGTGTGTGTCCTGCACGTGGAATACATATAAATGTCCATCGATGTTTTATACGATCGCGGGATACCACCGACTCGAACGCTAACGCGCGTGCGCGCACACCCACCCACCTAGTCGTCGTTTACTCCTTAATTATAATTTTTTTTATTTTATTTTTTTTGTACATATTTTATACATTTATATATATACAAACATATTTTGGCTACGCGTGCATGTACATGCGTTCCATAATAGTGAGCCGGACGCCAACAAATGTGCTTTTTTTCATTTATATTTTACTCTGATGGACAGTTTATGTTTTTACGGTAATTAAAAAAGAAAAAAAGACACTGTTTTTATTCCTCCAAGTAGAAACTTTTTTTTTTCATAGCAAAATTTCATACAACGTGTTTCGGTTGGGAAAAAATCCGAATTTGTTTATAATCACGCGTAGGTATATTATATATTATTATTATTATTATTATTATTATTATTATTATTATGGAATCGTACCGAATATATTGTTATGCCTTCATTCGATTTTGTATATTTAGTTTTTGTTTGAATAAAAAAATAATTCGGAACGCGAAAGACTTGAACGCCCGATATGACCACTCATTAGTTTTCTTTTCATTTGAGAGCGTTTAAAATATTGTATCATATACATATACGGTAAAATCCAGGAATATCTTGTTTGTACAAAACATTTATTAAATTATACTTGTATGTTTTGATTATTTTGCTTACCACGATTGTTTCTAATCGATATTAGATATTATTATTATTATTATCATTATTATTATTATTATTATTATTATTATTATTATTATTATTATTATTATTATTAT